TTTTTGTGGAACCGGGGCTTGAACTCAGACCCTTGTGCTTGCCAGGGAAGCACTTATTCCACTGAGCCCCCTTATGTCCTCATTTTTAACAGGCCCACTTTATGGCATTGTGTAGTTATGCAGTCATGCACCACATACCATTTTGGTCAGTGATACTACACATCTATGACACCGATCCTGTAAGATTGTAATGGAGCCGAAAATATCCCGTCACCTCATTTTCACTGTACTTTTTCTATGTCTGGGTAAGTTTAGATACACAAATACTTCTTCCTTTTTTTTTTTTTTTCAGAAACCAGGGATTAAACTCAGGCCTTTGCACTTGCTGGGCAAGCACTTATTCTACTGAGCTATCTCCCCAGCCCTCTTAATACTTCATATTGTGTGCAACTACAATTGCCCACAGTATTCAGTCTAATGATATGAGGTATAGCTTTGTATCCCATGAACCATAGGCACGCCACATGAATGGGCAGCAGGCAACCACTTAAATTTCTCTAGGTGTACTGCATAATGTTTGCAGTGATGCAGTTGCCTAGGGATTCATTTCTGAGAACATACCCCTGTCATTAAGTGACTCGTGACTGGACCATAATTTAATCAGCACCCAATGGGGAAAGAATAGTAATTTTGGAAGATGGTGTTGGAACTACTGGATACTGTCTTAGGCAGAAAAACACCCTGATTCCTGCCTCACAATATATATAACTGCATTACAGACACATAAGCGTGAAATGTTCAGATGTAAATAGGAGCGTATATTCATGATACTCTTGTAATCTGCAAAGGTCTTTTAGCTGAGATGCAGAAAGCAAACCCTCTAAAGGAAAGAAAAGAGCCAGGGATGGCGATGGCTGCTTATCTTCCCACAGCACGCTTGGAGGCTTTGGCAGGGAATCACAGCTTCAAGCCCAGTCTGGGGAGTTTAGCAAATTAGCAAGACCTCTCTCAAAATAAAGAAAAATAAGTGCGGGCCCTACCTCCCAGGGGCACACTGAGCTGGCCACCGAGTGCAGGTGTGGTGGCGCATGCCTGGAATCCCAGTGCTGGGGAGGCAGAAAACAGGAGGGTCACTACGAGTTGAGCTATACCAAATACATAAAATGAAAAATAAATAAAGAAAATAAAGAAAAATGAAAGGTGTAAGAATGTAGCTCAATGTGAAGTTTTAGGTTCAATCCCCAGTACAGTGAAAGAAAAAGGAAGAGAAAGGAGAGGGAGGGCGGGAAGAAGGGAAGTAAGAGGACTCGGACATCCGCAGAATTCAATACTTTTGGCTGTGTCTGGAGGTACATGCTACCATAATAGGAGGCTGAAGCAGGAGGATTGCTGTGAGCTCAAGGCCAGCCTGAAGTACACAGCAGGATCCTGTCTCAAAAAGGAAAGCAAAACAAACAAAAGATACCAGTAAAAGGGCTGGCTAAATAGCTCAGCGGATTAAAGTGCCTGCTTAGGCAGACACAGAGGCCAGGAGTTGGATCCCAGGCCTCCTGTGCTGGCCCCGCCCCCAGGGCACACTGAGACAGTGATTGAGACTGGGTGCCTGGGCGTGGTGGTGTGTGCCTGTGATCCCAGCACTTGGGAGGCTGTAAACAGGAGGATCACTACGAGTCTGATCTACGCAGTGAGACCGTGTACACCCCATACACCCTGTCCTAAAATACAAAAAAAAAAAGAAAGAAAGAAAGAAAGAAAGAAAGAAAGAAAGAAAGATAGATAGATAGATACTAGTAACAGAATTAAAAGCAAGGGGAAGAAAGTTAATAGGGAATTATCTCACAGACCACAATATGGACTGAAAACATCTGTTCTGCTTTGTTACTTCTACTTTTATTCTCAGATCCGATCGAGGTCTGAATTTCCATGGACTTACTGGCCTCTCCAAACCTCGTGAGCTCTGGGGTGGCGCTCTCTGATCGTGTGTCCTCTGCTCCAGGTTGTGCCTGTACGACATGTTGCAGTCCCGGGTGATCCTCACGGCTCGGCATGGATCTGACCAACACCAGGTTCTTGTGTGTACCAGGTTGGTGGAACCGTTCCAGGCTCAGGTGGGCTCCTTGTACATGGTCCTTGGGGACCTCGAGCGCCAGGATGGTAAGTGTGGCCCATGCTACCTGTTTCCCTCTGATCTGAGTTGGGGCCCAGTCTTCTGGGTACTCAGGAACTAGGAAGTGGCCTGGCTTCTGACCTCTGGGAGCCTCAGGGGGGTCACTGTCCTGCCAAACCAGCTCCCTAGGCAAAGACCCTTGGGAAGCAGATAGGATGTGACTTTCAAAGGCCCTGGCCTGTGGTACCAAATCAAAGAGAGGGACAGTGAAGAGGGGGTCAGCATGGGGACATGAGGGAAAGAAAAGAGAAGCCACATGTATCTGAAGGCTGACATATGCCCGGCCCTGGAGTGAGGTGCTAGGCTTTTACTCTGCCCACTGGCCCTCAAGCTGAGCCTTACTGATGTTTCACAAATGAGTAAACCAAAGCCCAGAGAAGATCGTGCTGGAATAATAAATCAGGAAGTCAGGGGAAGGGAAATAGTATGCACAGGAAGGAATTAAAGCAGCCCAGAGGGCTGGGGAGATAGCTCAGTAGAATAAGCGCCTGCCTAGCAAGTGCAAGGTCCTGAGTTCAATCCCCAGTACTACAAAAATTAAAAAAAAAAAAAGGTCCAGAGCCAGACGTGGTAGTGCACGCCTGTAGTCCCAGCACTCAGGAGACTAAGGCAGGAAGATTGCTGTGAGTTGAAAGCCAGCCTGGGCTACAAAGTGAGTTGAAGGCCATCCTAAAGTGCATTGTAAGATCTTGTCTGGAAAAGAAAAAAAAAGTGGTCCAGGAAGGCTGGGTGTGGTGATACACACCTATAATCCCAGCATTCTAGAGGCTGAGCTAGGAGGATCACTTTGTTTTTAGTATAGAATCTACGGGTCTCACTACGTAGATCTGACTTGTAGTGATCCTCCTGTTTTCAGCCTCCCAAATGCTGGGATTACAGTTGCGCACCACCACATCCAGCCTCAATCGCTATGTCAGTGCTCCCTGGGGGCAGGCTGGCTGGGCATGCCAGGAATCGAACCCTGGCCACTGTGCTCTGCCTAAGCAGGTGCTTTAGTCCTCTGAGCTGTCTGGCCGGCTCCTCCTAGGAGGATCACTTTGAATTCGAGGTCATCCTGGGCTACAAAATGAATTCAAGGCCAGCCTGAACTACAAAGTGATACCCTGTCTCAAAAAAAGACAAAAAAAAAAGAGGTCTAGAAAAATCTGTCTGGGGCCCGAGGAGATAGCTCAGTAGAATAAGCGCTTACCTGGCAAGCGCAAGGGACTGAGTTCAATCCCCAGTTCTGCCAAAAAAAAAGAAAAGAAAAATCTGTCTTTCATGGAGATTGGAGGCAGTGCTTGCCTGGGGCATCATTGGTGGTGGAATAACTTGCCTGGCCCCCATGAGCTCCTGGACTGAGCCCTGTCCTACATTAGGGGGAGTAAAAGAGTTGAAGGCAGGGTTAGCAGTGTGGCTGAGTGAGCCTCGGTCCTGCCTCCAGCTTTGTACACATGTGTGCATACACGCATGCGCACACACACACACACACACAGAATATTGAAATAAATTCTTTACTTCTCTGGCTCTCCCTCCAGACTGGGCTGTGAGGCCAGGCAGATGCCAGTTACCCTGGCCCCGCTTTTCTCTGCCTGGCTGGAGCCTGTCACGGTGACCCCGTGTCTGTGTGCTTCCCAGGCTGTTTTCCCTTTTGTTCTGTAAGCTTCCCCATGGGCAACTGGGTAGGAAGATTAAGGCCTCACTGGCCCCGTCCGTTAGCACTGAGGAGAAAGGCGGTGGGCAAGCAAGCTGACACGCTGGGGAAAAGGGAAAGCGGCTGAGCTCCTGAAGGCCCCCTGGACGAATACCATGGATGGTGGGAGGCGGGTGAATCCTGTGTCCCTTTGATTGCTTCTGTCTGTGCCAAAGTGGTGACACCAAGGTCTACCCCTCACTTGTGGCTCTTTGTCGAAGGGAGACAAGAGCTTCCTGACCCTCCACATTTTATTATAATTCTGTATCTCTTTGCTTTTCATCTTCATCACCCATCAGTCAGTTACAAGCTTGTAGGCCTGCTCCCACACTTCCTCCACCCTGTCTTCAGGGGAGCATGCTCATTGCAGAAAATTTAAAGACTGAAAAAGAAAAAAAAAAAAAGAGCAGGGGATATAGCTCAGGGGCCTAGCACCTGCCTGGCAAACACAAGGTCCTGAGTTTGATTCCTGGTATCTAAAAACAAAACAAAACACACAGTAACTAATAAATACCCAAAACTTTAGGCCAGCCAAATAGCTCAACGTTCAATCCCGAGTATCACAGAACAACAACAACAAAAACCAAATAGCTCAACAGATTAAAGTGCCTGCAAGCAGGAGCAGGGGCCAGCCACCACCACCCTGGCCCCACACTGAGACCATGATTGAGACTGGGCATGGTGGTGTATGCCTGTAATCCCAGCGCTTGGGAGGCTGTAAACCAGGAGAATCATTATGAGTCCGATCTAATAGTGAGACCCTGAATACCCTCTAAATCCTTCCCTAAAACAAACAAACAAGCAAACAAACAAACAAACAAAAAAAAAAACCACCAAAAACTACAACAAAAAAAACCCCAAAACAAAAAAAGCTATCTGTAAGACCCAGAGGCAGGGGCCGGGGAGATGGCTCAGTGGAATAAGTGCTTCCCTGGCAAGCGTAAGGGCCTGAGTTTAGTCCCCAGTTCCACCAAAACAACAACAACAACAACAACAACAACAAAAAAGAACTGCTAGGTTAAAGGATAAAACAGTGTGTTTCAGATGGGTAACATCCCAGCACTTGGGGGACTGAGGCAGGAGGATCATGCCAAGTCCAAGGCCAGCCTGGAGCTACAAAGTGAGTTTGAGGCCAATCTGGGCTACATAATAAATTGAAGTCCAGCTACACTGCATAGTGAGATGCCGTTAA